AACTAATGCAGTTATAAGCCGAGGTCGCTTGCGGCCGAGGCATAAGCTCAATCTTGCTTTATCTTTTATGGTCTCCATTATAGCACTTCAATTAAATTCTTCTAACAACATAAGCCGAGACGCTAACTCGATCTTTCTTTGTCTTTGAGGGTCTCTATTATAGCCTCTCGGCTGCAAGTGAGCTTGGATTAAATATTTCATAACCAATGCAGTTATAAGCCGAGGTCGCTTGCGGCCAAGGCATAAGCTCAATCTTGCTTTATGTGTTATGGTGTCCATTAAAGCATCTCATTAGCAAACGACTTAAATTAAATTCTTCCACGATTAGCAACAAGATAAGTCGAGGTTACTTACAGCCGAGACGCTACCTCGATCTTTATTTATCTTTGAGGGTCTCTATTATAGCCTCTTGGTTGCAAGTGACCTTGGGTTAAATCTTTCATAACCAATAACACAATAAGCCGAGGTTGCTTGCAGCCGAGGCAGTGCTATGAACTAGCTTTGTCTTTAAGGATCTCAAGCCAAGGTCAAGCAATACAAGCTGGGCCGCTTGCGGCCGAGGCATTCTTCATTAAAATGTGAGGTTTCCATAAATTGTGGTGTCTCGACCTCAATCCACCATCAATCTAGTTTCATCTTTAAGAATCTTCATTGTTGCACCACATACTCGATTTCGGCTTAAATCTTTCATAACAAAAGTTATAAGCCGAGGTCGCTTGCGGCATCAATCTTGCTTCAAGCGAAGTCTTTGAGGCCGAGGCGTTAACTCGTTCTTTTATGTATCTTTAAGGTGTCCATTATGGTGCCGCAACTACCTCCGCTAAAATCTTTCATAACCAATGCAGTTATAAGCCGAGGTCGCTTGCGGCCGAGGCATAAGCTCAATTTTGCTTTATCTTTTACAGCCTCCATTGTAGCACTTCATCAGCAAACGACTTAAATTAAACTCTTCTAACAACATAAGCCGAGACGCTATTTCGATCTTTCTTTGAGAGTCTCTATTATAGCCTCTCGGCTGCAAGTGACCTTGGGTTAAATCTTTTATAACTAACGTAGTTATAAGCCGAGGTCGCTTGCGGCCGAGGCATAAGCTTGCTTTATCTGTTATGGTCTCAATTGAAGCACCTCATTAGGAAACGACTTAAATGAAATTCTTCCACAATTAGCAACAACATAAGTCGAGGTTGCTTGCGGCCGAGACGCTACCTCGATCTTTCTTTGTCTTTGAGGGTCTCTATTATAGCCTCTCGGCTGTAAGTTAAATCTTTCATATCCAATAACACAATAAGCCGAGGTTGCTTGCTACCGAGGCATTGCTATGAACTAGCTTTATCTTTAAGGATGTCAAGCCAAGGTCAAGCAATACAAGCCGAGGTCGCTTGCGGCTGAGGCATTCTTCATTAAAATGTGAGGTTTCCATAAATTGTGGCGTCTCGACCTCAATCCACCATCAATCTAGTTTCATCTTTAAGAATCTTCATTGTGGCATCACATCCTCGGTTAAATTCTTTCCTGACTATTAAAAATATAAATCTAGAATTCCTCAATACTTCTGCGTTAATGACTTCTCACACAACAGAGCTTAATAGTCCAAGTATCAATACTCATATCAAATTCTGTGTGGGGTTTAGGGAAGCTCTTCCTCAACTTTGCGAGTACTTATTTTTGAAATTAAAACTTGGAAGCGACTAATTTGGGTTGAACACTTTAATTCTAGATCTCTAGATGTTTTTTTCTTTTTATAAAAGATTTTATTAGACATTTTTTTGAAATATCATCAAATATGAATGAATTTGATGATATTGTTTAAAAATTAAAAACTTGATACATTTTAGCGAGTAGTTTTTTTAGATATTCTTTTCGTAGGACGCCTTTAAAGCTTGATCTTCTCAACTTATAAGACTGATGATACTGTCTCTACATGATAATATATTATCATTTTTTGTGGAATTAAAAAAAAAACTTACTATCTTAATAATTGAAAAAATAAAGTAAAAATGAAAAAATAAAAAATTAGTAAAAAAAAAACAAAATAATCTCAAGGCAATATAAGATATATTTTTGAGGTATTCATATGTACTATTTGTTATTACAAAGCAGTTGCGGTTGTTATTATAAAAAAGAAGAAAAAAAAGTATAGGGAGGTTGAGATTTGTTTGATTTCCGGCCTATCTCTTAAACTCTCTCTACTAATTTCTCCTTTGCAATTTTTAAGACCAAAAAAAAAATAATCCACTCGTTTTTTCTAACGAACCAGAAGGTGGACAATAAGACAATGTTAGAAGAAGTCACTTGTTAATTAAAAAGATTTTAAAAAAATGAAAAACAGGTAACGAAACTAATTAAAAATAAAAATTAATATCGAACGAAAAAGTGCTGTTTGTTGGAAAAAGAAAGAGAAATCCGCTAATTAAACTGTAAATTTAATGTTCTCTCTCTCTCAAAGTTGTTAAAATCAAAAAAAAAATGTTAAAAGGTTACAAATTTAACCGAAATAAATTTTTTCTGGTCCATTTTTTGTGTAAAACGAACGTAATATCACTTTTTATCACCAGGAGCACATTATCTAAGAGTCGAAAATCGATTAAAAAAAAAATAATATAAAAAGATAAATAACAACATTCCAATTTTTGTATACAAGGTTAACTACGATTGTTATTGCTACGAATTGTGAGAATCTTGCCCGTTAATAAATGTTCTTTTTTAGGTTTTTTAAAACGTCGAAAAGTAAAAGTCTATTTTTCCATAGAAAAGAACGCAGTTTTCTTGTTATTGTACTAAATATTATACATGATATATGTGTGTGCCTAGTCAAGTAGCGTACTAAAAAAAATTGGTCAATTTTATCAAGTAATTATTATTATTAAAATAAAAAAAATGATACGTACGGAAAAAACCGAAAAGTACATGTTGTACTTTTTAAAACCGTAGGCCTCAATCTACGACCAATTTATTCTTTTACACATTTTTTTTCTTTGTTACTTTTTTAATATTTATAACATTTTTGCCAAATTTGTTCTACTATAAATAAGAGTTAGGTTTAAGGTTTTTCTATACCCCCCCAATTGATCATTAACTACTACACAAATATTCATATCAGTTTGTTATTTACTGTATTAAAAAGTGTGTGTTGTGTGTTAATTGCTTCTTGAATAAAATACAATAAGAATAAAATCTTTTATTTACCTAATTACGATATTAGATTATCAAATTCTTCATCCTATTTCGATTTAATCCAACTTCCATAGCTAATTTTTCCACTAAGATCCATTTTGTGATTAATTCCAATCAAATGTGAAAATTAAATATAACGATTTTTTAATAAATATTGAAATGATCTTAATATGAATCAAAAATGCTTTCATTTGATACCAAACACGATATGTTTACGTTAAAAAATAAACAGGTTTGGTTAGAAACTGTCAAATGTCAAAATTAAATATAACGATTTTTGATAAATATTGAAATGATCTTAATAAGAATCAAAAATGCTTTAATTTGATACCAATCATGATATATTTGGGGTAAAAAAGAAAAAAGTTAGGTTAGAAACTGTCAAATGTCAAAATTAAGTATGATTTTTTGATGAATGTTGAAATGATCTTAATAAGAATCAAAAATGCTTTAATTTGATACCAAACATAATATATTTGGGTTAAAAGGAAAAAAGTTAGGTTAGAAACTGTCAAATGTCAAAATTAAATGTAACGATTTATTGATAAATATTGAAATGATCTTAATAAGAATCAAAAGTGCTTTCATTTAATACCAATCATGATATATTTGGGTTAAAAAATAAAAAAGTTAGGTTATAAACTGTCAAATGTCAAAATAGCGTCAAATGTCAAATAGCGTTTCTTTGATAAATATTGAAATGATCTTAATAAGAATCAAAAATGCTTTAATTTGATATCAAACATGATATATTTGTGTTAAAAGAGAAAAAAGTTAGGTTAAAAACTGTCAAATGTCAAAATTAAATATAATGATTTTTTGATGAATATTGAAATGATCTTAATAAGAATCAAAAATGCTTTCATTTGATAGCAAACACGATATGATTACGTTAAAAAATAAAAAAGTTTGGTTATAAACTGTCAAATGTCAAATAATCGCCATTTTGTTTTGCTAAAAATTAAGATATCTCTATAACGGTTGGAGATAAATAGGTCGAGTTTGGGTTCATTTTGAAGGATTTTTAATTTTCTATCCATTTATGTTAAAAAAAAGCGACTTTTATGAAATTATTATATTTTTTGCCTAGCTTTGTTAATTTATTGCAACCTTAATTGATCATCTAAATGAGCATCTGTAATTTGAGTTAAGGATAATAAAATTAATCATGATATATTTGAGTTATATAAAAAAAAGTTAGGTTAGAAACTGTCAAATGTCAAAATTAAATATAACAATTTTTTGATAAATATTGAAATAATCTTAATAAGACAAAAAAATGCTTTCATTTGATACCAAACACGATATGATTACGTTAAAAAATAAAAAAGTTAGATTAGAAACTGTCAAATGTCAAAATTACATATAACGATTTTTTAATAAATATTGAAATGATCTTAATAAGAATCAAAAATGCTTTCATTTGATACCAAACACAATCTTTAGGCAAGAAAATAAAAAAGTTAGGTTATAAACTGTCAAATGTCAAATAATCGCCATTTTGTTTTGGTAAAAATTAAGATATCTCGATAACGGTTGGAGATAAATAGGTCGAGTTTGGACTCATTTTAAAGGATTTTTAATTTTCTATCTATTTATGTTAAAAAAAGCGACTTTTATGAAATTATTATATAAATTATCTGTAATTTGAGTTAAGAATTTCTATTGAAACGTGTTGGCCGCCAGCGACCTTGGCTTATAAAACAAATCATGACTACCTCAACCTTCCTTTATATTTGAATCGTTCCTTGAATAAAATACAATAAGAACGAAATTTATTTACCGAATTCAATTTTTTTATACTTTTATTTATATTTTTGAGCATTAATACATTTAAAAAATTTCAAAAACGATATTAATTATCAAAAATTCTTCATTCTATTATCTTTAAATCGATTTAATCCAACTTCCATGGCTAATTTCCCAGCTAAGATTCCATGAAATTCCATCTTATACCACAGCGATCCCATAAAAAATAAATACGCCATCAATAAAGTAACTAAAAGTCTTCCAAAATGTACCAAATAATTATACCCATCTGGAGCATTAAACGGCGTACTCGAAACCAAAATCAAAAACAACAAACACGTTAAAATCCAATAACCAAACCTTTTCGTTCTTAAATTTCTCAACGCCGTATTAGAAATTAAAATACACTCTTCTAAAATTGCCGTACAAGTATCTCGATCTAATTCTTCTATTTCATCAAGACCTTTTTCGATTTGTAACGTGGCTGTTATAGCTTCATGATCTGAGTAACTAAATGATTTTTCAGGAACTCTTCTTGGTAAAGGTTGGCAGTATTTTTTTGTGGTTATTTTAATGTTAGGATTTTTTGGGCATCCGTACATAATATAATCGATCCTTTTTCCCGCATCACCGCTTCGAATTGCTTTTTTATCGGCGTAACTATTATAAAAAGACTCATTCGTTCCGATTTTATGAATTTCTTTGGAATCTTCTTTAACTTCAAGAAAACTATCTTTCAAACCGGTTAAATGAACAATTATCCTGCAAAATATTTTATTATAACCTAGTTATATGCGCAATGTGTTAATTAATTATAGTACCCGAGAAAGTATGCAACCAATATCACAGTATTGGTATTGCAATACTGGTACTGTGATATTGGTTGCATACTTTCAATGGTGACGTCGGGTACGATAATTAATTAACACATTGTATATATAATTAAACCTGTAAGCTAAGTCTTCTGGCTCGGTATTTAAATCTCCTGCTAATACAATTAAATCGGCTAAACCTGAGGTTTGTTGTATAAATTGAGCAGTATCATATGCTTGTTGAACTCTGTGGCATTGATACTCATCATTGAGCCTATTGTATTCAGCATGTAACTATAATAGTTATTAAAAATTAATTGACTCATTTAATTAAGTAATAAATCGTAATTTTACGTGAGCAGAATAAATATTAATATTAAATCCATCAACTAATAATTTGCAGAACCCAATTCCTTTCCCGCCAAACCAATCGGCGTGTTGAATTTTATGCACATAACCGTTAACAGTCCATTGGTGAAAGAAAACGTCCAAAATTGGGTATTTTGAGAAAACGCAAATTCCAGAACCAATAACACCACTGTAAAAGTAATGGGAATATCGGAGTGATGTTTCCACTTTTTCTTTAATAAGAATAAAATCGGATTCAGCCCAAACTTCTTGTAAGCATACCACATCGTAAGCGCTTGTTGATAAGGCTTCTGAGATAGCTTTAAACCGTGCATTTCTGTCTTTTGAAATAATTGGAATTCCCCTTGAAAAAGTTTAAATTGTTTTAATTGTAAAATTTATTATAATTACACAGGATTGCGCCCAAAAAACTTTTTTGAAACTGAAAGGCGAAAAATTTCCATCACCCTTAGTTTTTTTGCAAACTTGTCATTAAAAAATTCCAGAGAAACATTACAGACTTTGTTAGGAAAGTTATTATAATATATAAATTCTGGGCACCTCACAAAGTGTATTATATTTATGTAGAAGATCTCAGGAAGTGGTCATTAGGCAAAAAAAAATCATTAAATTTGGCAAATCATAGTGATGACTGTTATTTTTGCTACTATGATTTTAATGGCTATAACTCTAAGAATAAAAGAGATATAGTGTACCACAACCTTCCTTCTGCAATGCGACCTATAGCTCATGGACCAGATGTGCTTGTACCTTAACCTCCAACAACGCTAGATGAGATAAGCAGTAGTGAATCTGATGTGAATGAAGATGACTGTGATTTCCAAGATCTTTCAGATTATACCACCCCACATCTTTTCACTCAGTCCGACCTTGATGACTTAGTGGGAGACTTGGGACTTACCAAGAAGAATGCTGAACTCTTGAATTCTAGACTAAAAAAAAAGCTACTGACTGCTGGAACATCTTTTTATCAGTACAGATTTAGAGATCATGAATTTACCGACTATTTCAAACAAGAAGGCGAGTTGGTCTACTGTTGTGATGTTGCTGGTTTGGTTCAAAAGTTTGGAATTAAATAAAAAGCTGATAAAAACATGGAGGCTTTTCATTGATTCTTCAAAAAGAAGTCTGTAGAAAGAAGCACCTCAAAGAAAATTACAAGAATTTGAAAGAGGTGCTAAATAACATTAAATATACAGATCATAACTGGATAGTTTGTGGCGATCTGAAAGTTTTGGGAATGATGCTTGGTCTACAGAGAGGACTAAAAAAGTGTGGCCAACCCAACAAACATTGGGGCCAGGTGAAAAAATTGTTTTCCACAAAGCTTTAGTCGGTCCTAAAAATGAGATTGAAGAGAAAAAAAAAATTCTCCAAAACTATGAGAGATTAAGAAATGAAACGTTTTGAGGTTATAAAAGAATGTTTGAGGTTAGGTTGTACCAAATTTTAAAATTCCAGGTTAAACAATTTTTGATATAAAGATGTTTAAAAATAACAAATTTTTGATATCTCCTAAAAATGAGGTTGAAGAGAAAAAAAATTTTCTCCGAAACTATTGGAGATAAAGAAATGAAACTTTTTGAGGTTATAAAAGAATGTTTGAGGTTAGGTTGTACCAAATTTTAAGATTCCAGGTTAAACAATTTTTGATATAAAGATGTTTAAAAATAACAAATTTTTGATATTTCCTAAAAATGAGGTTGAAGAGAAAAAAAATTTTCTCCAAAACTATTGGAGATTAAGAAATGAAACTTTTTGAGGTTATAAAAGAATGTTTGAGGTTAGGTTGTACCAAATTTTAAGATTCCAGGTTAAACAATTTTTGATATAAAGATGTTTAAAAATAACAAATTTTTGATATTTCCTAAAAATGAGGTTGAAGAGAAAAAAAATTTTCTCCAAAACTATTGGAGATTAAGAAATGAAACTTTTTGAGGTTATAAAAGAATGTTTGAGGTTAGGTTGTACCAAATTTTAAGATTCCAGGTTAAACAATTTTTGATATAAAGATGTTTAAAAATAACAAATTTTTGATATCTCCTAAAAATGAGGTTGAAAAGAAAAAGATTTTTTCTCCATAATTATTGGATATTAAGAAATGAAACTTTTTGAGGTTATAAAAGAATGCTTTCAAAAAGGTGATCACTAAATTTTTAGGGAATGAGAAGAACCATATCAGCATTGTAGATGATTTTTTCAAAAAAATGGAAAATCTTGGCTGCCTGATGAGCAAAAAAGTTCACTTTCTACATTCTTATTTGGATTTTTCTCTGAAATCTTGGGTAGTAGCAGTGAAGAGCAGGGAAAACGTTTCCATGAGGATTTTAAGGTCATGGAGAGGAGATATCAGGGCGGTTGGAATATCAGTATGATACACTTCATCAAGGGAATCCAAGTGTTACTCACAAGAAGAAAAGTAACAATCATATTCATACCAGTTAGTTTCAGATTATTGTGTCGAAATGCAGAAAAACGTTGGGTGATGGGAAAAAGCTGTTCATTTTCGGATTCAGCACCTTTCAAAACTGTTAGATCACCCTAAATAATCTAAAAAGTTTTTATGAAATTAATTTTTGCAGGCCTGTGTTATTAATATAACTAGTTTAAACTTACCAACAATTTAAACTAAATATTTTAAAATCCATTATTTCTCGAAAATGAAACAAAGAAAATTAAAGGTTATTTTTTTTTAGGTTAGGTTATTGTTGACGTGTCAAACAAAGTAATTTTTAATTTATAAAATCGTTATTTTTAATTTAAATAATCCTAATTTTATTACAACTTAGTTTAATTTACGTTTTTAAACAAATTAATAAATCAAAACTTAATAAATAAAGTTTGATTAAAAAATTGAAATTACAAACTTAACCCCATCCATGATTAAAAAGATCTATGATCACCTGTTTTATTTTTTATCACAAATGTCGTTGTTGTTATCGTGTTTTAGTGTTCAAATTGATAATTAACGTTGTATTCGTCGTTTTAAATGAGAAGCATTAACTAAACTTTATAATATGTTAAAAACCTTCGCCGATACGCTAACTACACAATAACTAACCTAAAAATCGGTTCAAAAATGGATCACGATAAAGAAGTGAAACTAAAAACGGACTCAAATCATGTTTATTACGGCGTACACGTCCCTAATTTAGTCGAAACGTTGGAAGAAGTCGAAAAAACGAACGTATTCACCGACAAGGCGGAAGCTTTAAAGCTGGTGAAGCAATTCAAAAAAGCCAGATTTAAATGTTTTAATTATTACCACGAAGCGGTTGAGTTCGCGACTCACGGTGGGGATACCCCCTTTATTAACAACCACAGTTTTAATTCCAACTCAAAAAAAGAACCAGAAAACGAAAATTTATCATGCATTGTAAACGAAAAGTGCCAATTTCGAGGACCAAAATCTCAAGATCTGATCAAATTAAGAAAAGCAATCGAGACAAACGACTTAAATTATGTTGAAAAAACGGTTTGGGATAATCCAAGATATTTAATAAGTTCCGGGGATACCCCTTCAATTTTACAAGAAGGTTCTCGATACAATGCTTTACACATTGCGGCGAAATCGAAACATTCTGATATGTGCGAACTCATTTTAAACACAGTGGGGAATGTTGATTTTATTGAAAAGCTATATGGGGAAGATGAACACCAAAATTCGGAAGATAGGGTTAAAATTTTACTTGATTTGTATTTAAATACACCCGATAAAGGAGTTAATGAGACCCCCTTGCATTTCGCCGTTAAATTTGGAGCCTTGAAAGTCGTTGAGGTGTTAGTTTCATATCCCCAGTGTGATAAAAACGTTAGAAATAAATATGGTAAACTTCCAAATCAAGTAAGATTAATTTTTATCGTTTAAATTTTTTATAAATAAATTTTTATTCAAGGTTGTTTGTGAACGTTATGAAGGATATGCTGAAAAATTGAAGGAACAAATTTCGAACTTATTAGAAGATAATTTTTATGTTCCTGTTTTACGATATGAAGGGAATTGTACTCCGCCTGTAATTGGAGAACCATTTTCACCAAAAAGCCCACCTGTAAATAATTAATTAATTAATTAAGTATAGTATAACCTTGATATAATGGATTAATATGGGGAAGGGAGTGGGAAGAGTAGAATCAAATTGACTGAAAAACAATTAAAACTAGAACTACCGTCCTTAATTTATTCATGGTATAGACCAGGGGTTCCCAATTTTGTATACTGCTACTTCCTTTAGAGGTTGTATTTTTTTGCAACGCCCTTCTAAAAGAGCATGTTTGTTTGTAGCTCTAGCAGACATTAAGATTACTTTATTTATTTACTATTTTTATTTAATTGAAGAAAACTCCAAAGAATTTATTTTAATTAATATTATTTATTAAAAAATACAGGGTTATTCACATAAGAACCAACACAGAGGACAATAAATTAAAATGATTTAATGTAACTTACCTCTATACTAAGGTACACTCATAACATATACCAAATTTGGTTTAAAATGTTTTAAAAATTGAACCCAACTTTGAAGGCCTATAACTCCTCAGAGGTACAACTTAGTTACGAGATAAGTTGCGTTAAATCATCGTAATTTATTGTCCTCTACATGTCCCTGCTCTGTGTCGCTTCTTATGTGAATCTCCCTGTATAACAGTACAGGTGTCCCAATTTTGATGTCCACATAGACTATCTTCGAAACTAAAAGAGATAAAAAAAAAGTAGCTTACATGTCATGATCTCGTTTTTCGAGAAAATGCTAATGCCGAAAACTCCGAACAGCTATCGTCTTTTATTTTCGCCCTATCGACAAAAACTGAAAATTTTGCGAAAACGACAATCGCGAATATCTCACTTATTATCAAAGATGGAGTATTATAAATAAAACATTATATGGGCAACTTTTTACGAAGAATTTAGTGGCGTAGGTAGATTTTTTTTCCCATCTTTTATTTTCGAGATTTTAGACGTAACTTTATTTTTTTAAATGGAAACGATAGTTGGCTATGACTTAAAATAATTTGTTATTTTCTTCTGATAACAAATATACATGTGGTTCAGTTTTTAATCGGGAATCTTTACTAAGATGTAGTACTTGCCAATATAACACAAGTTTTTTATATAGACATAGGGTCGCAACTCTTTTGTTTTCGAGCTATGAGCTGTCAAAGTTGAGCCAAAAATTTGCATTTTATCTTTTATTTCGGGTATAAGTAAACCGTAAAATTTTGTATGTATGTACTACTGGTTAATACCTTATTTTTAACCATACCTTAAACTTCCCTAGCGCCCTCTAAGGGAATGAAATTCACAACCCCTTTGATTTTTTATAACAACTTTTTAACGCCATGGTATATTAACATAAAAAAATACGGGTTGTAAGCAATATTATAAAATTGATACTCTTGTTTAATAACAATCAAAAATTATTAATTATCATCAACAATTATGAGGATTCACTATAAATAAAACTTACAAGTTCTAAGAGCCAACTTTTAGAATAATTTTAGCTAAACATGGCGGCACATTTTATTTTTTTACACGGAAACTATTAACATTAAGGAAAATACTAAAGAGACAAAAAAGTACCATTAAAGAATGAGCTTTACAACTCATATTTTTTTATGTTAATATTCTATAGCGTTAAAATTTCTTATAAAAAAAATCAAGGGGGTGGTGAATTTCATCCCCTTAGAGGGCGCTGGAGAAGTTTAAGGTATGCTAGAAAATAAGGTCTTAACCAGTAGTACATACGTACAAAGTTTCAAATTCTACGGTTTTCTTACAGCCGAAATATAAAACAAACTGTAAATTTTTGGCTCAACTTTGATCGCTCATAGCTCGAAAACAAAAAAGTTACTAAGGTAAGTACTACATCTTAGTAAAATTTCCCGATTAAAAACTGAACCACCTGTATATTATAAGGTAGTCGTGTAAAGGTGTCCCAATTTCAATGTCCGCATAGGCTATCTCCGAAACTAAAAGAGATAGAAAAAAAGTAGCTTAAATGTCATGATCTCGTTTTTTGAGAAAATGCTAATTCCGAAAACTCCGAACAGCTATCGTCTTTTGTTTTCGCCCTATCGGCAAAAACTGAAAATTTTGCGAAAACGACAATCGCGAATATCTCACTTATTATCAAAGATGGAGTATTATAAATAAAACATTATATGGGCAACTTTTTACGAAGAATTCAGTGGCGTAGGTAGAATTTTTTTCCCATCTTTTATTTTCGAGATTTTAGACGTAACTTTATTTTTTTAAATGGAAACCATAGTTGGCTATGACTTAAAATAATTTGTTATTTTCTTCTGATAACAAATATATATAGTTTGTGGGGTATATTTCTTATAGTTATTGAATAATTAACAAAAATTCATTTTGTTCTATCTAAAACTAATGTATGTATTTAAAAGTTAATGTTGCTATGGTGATAACCATACATACTATGATGGAACATAATGTATCAAATAATTGCCAAAGTTTGTATTTAAAAATTCGATAACAACTCTGGCATTATGTGCTGGTACGATGCACCAGCATGTTAAGTGTCAAAGTATAACAAAACTGAATAAAACTTTACAATGAATTTCGAAAATTATGAAAAATGTAACATGATGGAATGCTATATGTTATCAGATAAGAATGCGACGTTAGCCGCGGAATTTTATTTCACAAGATATCCAGAAAGAAGACAACCGCACGTAAGAACCTTCAGCCGGTTAGCAGAAAATTTAATAGATATTTGGTCCTTCCCCAAACCACATACAAAAACATACCAAAATGACCTGCAAGAGAAATTGCAACAAGACGTCTGACCCAAAAGCCGCTGCTCCCGAATATGAAAGAAAAATAAGTATAAACCATACAAAGCGGGGCTAACTCATTATTTACGTGCCGGAGATGTCAATCGAAGATTAGAATTTTGTAGATGATATTTAAAAAAATTAAATAATCTGCTGTTTGTTCAAAATGTTATCTGGACCGATGAAGTCTCTGAGTGTTCAAAGAAGATTGGGGTTCAATGTATGGTGTGCCCTTTTAGATAATAGAATTTTGGCATATAGTATCTACCATAAAAACTTAAACTCAGGGAAATACCTCAATATATTAAGGCAGCACATTGAGCCTTTGGTCGACAATTTGCCACTAAATATGTCTCAAATGATATATTTTCAATATGACGGAGCACCAGCACATAATGCCAGAGTTGTTAGTGAATTTTTAAATACTACTACAAACTCAAGGACAGTAGAATCTAACAGGACTGCTACATCCATTGTTGTGACAGCCTACCCGCAAACTACGTCACACCATTTTCCACGCCCAGCTGTTGTTATGGTCTATGCGTTTGCTGTGTGTTTTTAGAGGTTATATCCTAGACGTATTCATATTAGTTTTGAAGTTTTATGTTTTTAGACGTATTAATGTCTATCATATAACCTCTAAAAACATAGACAGTTATCAGGCGTGGCAAATAGTGTGACGTAGAGTGCGGGCAACCAACCCGTAGTCGACTACAAAAATACAATGGATGTAGCAGTCCTGTTAGATTCTACTGTCCTTGCTACAAACTTTGGCAATAATTGGAAACAATGCTTTCCCTCATGGTATGGTTATCACCATAACAACATTAAGTTTTAAATACATACAATAGTTTTAGAAAGAACAAACAAAATTGAT